GACCAGGTCAGGCAGCTTTTGGTTGATGATCCTGGAAACTCTGAATATGTAGACATGGAGAAGGAGCTTATTGAGGTGATCTTTTCTTATGATTGCTTGTTTGTAGTTGGTTCTCTCTTTTCTTGCAGGTTTTCCTTGGAAATGATTGCACAATGTTTATATGGTTTTATCTTCCCATTTTGCGTTGTGTACTGTAGTTACGGTTTCTAGTTGGCTTGAGGAAATGGACAACTTTTTCTCTGTCACTGTGGGTCACAAACCAGTGGATGGTGTTAATATTTAGGTGTCTAGATGGGTGTTACTATTTGAGTGTCTAGGTTTTTGATGGAGTTACCTTTCTTTCTTTGTCTTTACCGCATCTCTCTTGAAGGAATCAACATGTTGCTAAAAACAAGCAACAGTTATTTGCTGCTAATGGCTCTCGAGAAGATTTGTTTTCGTTTCAGTGTTAAAAAGGTGAGGTGGTTTTTGTGCTAACTCTAGTTCAGACACTCCGGAAATTGGAACTGTGTGGAGTTAAAATATTGGAGCTCTTTCTAAAAGCTTAGAACTTCATCAAGATGCCCATCACTTCTATCTTGGTTCATTTGCAGGTGTGCTATGTGTCGTGATGGCCAGCCTGCTTCCATTCGTCACCTGATTTGTGATGTTCACACTGAGATATTAAGTTTGAATTTTAATGATGATAGCCATTTATGTATTGTGATGTTATATATTTCTTTTGTATATTATTAGATTTGGCTAACATAGTCGAGATGCAGGTCATTGCTCTGACAGAAGAACTCCTTGAAACTGCAAAGCAGAATGAGATTTCTGGATCGCATCTTGGAACAGGAGCTAGTGCATCTCCTGGTTACCCTGAACCTCAGGTGAATAGAACAGTAAATTACACTTCTTTGCTTTCATTTTGCATTTGTTGGGAAGCTTGTTCTATGCTTTCGTGCGGGGAGGCTGTGCTTTAGAATGGAGGAAAAAAAGTATATATAAATACCACATTTAAGTATTACACAGTTACAGATATCTTATGGATATATGTGAGGCATTGACACAACTCCTCCTTTTCCCCTAAACAGGAGGCTGATCAACATGAGAAGTTCCCCATCGGTTCAAAAGTTCAAGCTGTATGGAGTGAAGATGGGGAATGGTATGTGATAAGCTTTAGGAGATTCCAAAAATTATCATTCTGCTTTATTTTCTATTTTTCATTTGTTTTGTCTTTTGTCTTTGCTGTGTTTGATGAGTTAAATGGTCAGGTATGATGCAACGGTTGAGGATCTTACTCCTAATGGATATTATGTAACCTTTGATGGATGGGGAAACAGGGAAGAGGTATGGTTTCTGTGGCCCCATTATTTTTCAAATTCATCATCATTATCATGGCTATAACTTTGTGCATGCATCTCCTTCTGATCTAGGCTTGTAGCCATATTGCATCTATCTTTACTGTCAAATCTTGAAAAGTTGTAGAATATTCACTTGTTTTTTTTCTTTCTTCTTAATTATTTTCTGGTAGTTATTTTGAACAAAAGCAATCGTCTCACTATTCTGTCATAACAGTGGGCTTATTTCATACTATTACATGGATTGTTTTCTCTTTGCTATGTATTACTTATTCATTCTTGTGCCTTGCTTGCCTCATCCTATGCGTCCAACTATGATGTCTCTGTTTTTTTTTTTCTTAATTGGATTGTGGATCATGACTGACTGTTGCTAAACCCAGGTGGACCCTGATAATGTAAGGCCAATTGAATTCAATGCCTTACTGGAAGCAGAAAAGGTAGCTGAAGCTACAAAACAAGCTATCAAAAGAAAGATTGCCCAAGCAGCTTCTGTGGACTTTCAATCACGAAGCTTACCAGCAAAGCTTCGGATAGAACCTGATGACTCAGAGGATGTGGTAAGTAGTGCTTACATATACTACTTTTACAATGCATGCATGTTACTGGTGTCTGTAGCAATAAAATGACATTGATTAATCTCATTTTTCTCATTCTGTAATCCTTAGTTGCTTTCCATATTGGTTAGTTTCATTTAAAAATGAACGAGGATACCTGGTTCTGGCTTGGCTGGATTCAAAATGTTACCTATGTCTGGGCCACCAGTCAATACATTCTGTCTCTAATTTGAGCCTTCAAGGATTAGCTTTTCTGCAACTTGCTGGTTTGTGTGTAACATGGGTTGGTGTATTGATAGTTTTTTCCTAAGCAAAATGGTTTATATGACATTTCTCTATCTCTTATTCCTCTTCCACCTCAAAGTTTTTGCTATGCTATTACTTTTCCTCCACGAGCGTTTTGATTTAATTTTTGTTTTTTCTACAGAAAGCTGCCAAGCGTAAGAAGATACATTCTTTCAAGTCAAAGATGCGTTTTGAGCAACTTGAAGTTGCACAGAATAAGCGACAGAATGCATGGCAGCAGTTCCAGACAACTAAAGGCAAGACTAAGAAGGTAAATACTTGCAAAATGGAGAACGCACATGTTTGTAGTAATTTGATACTTGGGAAACTGCAAGCTACATGGAAGGGCACTCTTTCCCCATTCCATTGAACCCCCACTTCCCTCTCCCAATGGGATTGAACCTCTGGATTTTCAAGGTTGAATTCTAAATTCTTATCAGGTTCTTCCTTGGGGGACTAAACATCACAAAAGTAACTTCTAGAATTCGCCTTTCTACTATACCATCTGCACTTGTAAGATGCTCTTTTCGTTTATTCTTTCAGGTTGGTTTCTTCTCAGGGCGCAAGAGAGAGAGCATTTTCAAATCTCCTGATGATCCCAATGGCAAGGTTGGTGTGACTGGAAGTGGGAAGGGCTTGACAGAGTTCCAGAAGAGGGAAAAGCACTTGCATCTCAAGGATGGAAGCGTTGAGATCGACGATTAGATTAGAGTTACATCACATTAGATGCTACAGTTACATTGTTTTTTTTTTTTTTCTGCCTTGTAACCTTACTCTATAGGCTTTTGCACAAACTGATCCAGTAGCCAAGATACTGGACTGCTGCCTGGGCAATGTACCGCCGAGGAGTCTCGATGATGTGGTGAGCTTGTTAGTATCTGTGCTTGTAGGTCTTGCTTTTAGAAAACCTCTTCTACGGATTTATTTTTCGCCGATTAGGAGGGTGCCTGCTCTTTTTTCTTCCTGTTCCAAGTATCTGTCGTTCTTAAGAACCTTTTCAATTGGGTGCAGAAAACGAAAAGAAGAATCATGTATAAATTAAAAAAATAAATAAAAATTGACAACTCGTCAGCTGACGGATGCAAAAATAGAAAAGCATGTACATTTTCTTAGTTGATTCGGCTGGTGGTTGGAGGAAGATTAGGGTTTGTTCTGTAAAATGTTTTAGAAGTTGCTTTTAAGTGTGAAAAAATTAAATTCGATGTTATTTTTTTTTAAAAAAATTAATGCTTAAATATAAAAATTTTAAAAAATTATATATAAAATAAAATATTATTTTAATATATTTTTAATTATAGTGTATTTTTGCAAGCATTAAGCACGCTCTGCATTGGTTTTTTTTTTTTTTTTTTTTATAACAATTATAACAAGGTTAGTATCATGATTGAGTGGATATTAAAATTTTAATTTTAAAAAAGAAACAGTTGAAAAAATGTCCCTTTAATTTAGGTTAATTTCTTATTTTTTTTCCAATATATTAATTGACGTGTCCATATTCTCGAATGCTTCAAGAGAAAGTTAAAAAGATAAAATTCTGTACCTTTGGATTTGATTGGGTTTTGAACAATTTACGTACGAATCATTTTAGTGATAAAAATTGCTTTTCTTTTTAAGTTTATTGGTTCATAAAATAGAAAATAGAAAAAGGAAGAGCCTTATTGAAACTCGCCCAGGATAACAAGTACCAGTTTGTAATTTACCAAAAAAGTCATGATTTCTTCCAGAATCACACAACTAAAAACAAATTATATTTTATATCAATTTTACTACTAAATTATTTTAAAATCTCAATTAAAGATTTCTATTAAAATAAATTAAAAAACATTGAAGTCATTACAAAACATGTCATTCCGTATAGAAAATAGTATAATTTAGTTAAAATATGAATGCAAAGCTTTATAAATTTAAAAAACTTTTTAATTGAAATTTTATGTGTTGATAAATTGTTTAGTGATAACATTGAGAATACCTATATAGCTAGGTGATATTATTAAGATTTTTTATCAATTAATATGGATCTTAAAAAAAATATACCATTTAAATAAAAACTTGGATTTTTTTTTAAAATATACCATTTAAATAAAAACTTGGATATTTTTTTTTTTAAAATAGATAAAAATTCATGCTTATGAATGATAATGGATATCCATGGATTAAGTTTTGTATTATTTATGTCCAAACATGAATCTATAAAAAAAATAATCCAAACTCAATCTGAATATATATGAATTTTTTATATTTGAACTTGTTTTGATATATTTTTAGATATTCATCAGATATTTATAACCCAAACTAAACCAAAAATCTAAATTCAAATGTTATAATTTAGAACCATCTTGTATATAATTAACTTAATATATATGTATTTTCTTTTTAAATTTTAATGTTATCTAAGGCAGAACAAACTAATATCTATACCCAACCAAAAATATAATATTAATTTACCATCAAACTTTACTTGAGATTAATTAGGTTTAATAATTTTCTACTTTGAATTAATTTACCATCCATATTCTTGTCTTAGAGTTTGAGTGCAAGATTGACACTAAAAAAAACTAAAGGGATGTTTGTTTTTATATTTTAAAAGTATTTTTAAAATAAATTAATTTTTTTTTTATTTTAAATTAATATATTTTTAATATTTTTAAATTATTTTGATGTGTTAAAAATAATTTTTAAAAAATAAAAAAATATTATTAATATATAATTTTAATATAAAAATTATTTAAAAATAACAGTAAAATTTAATATAAAAAATTATTTAAAAATAACAGTAAACAAGCTACCGTGACAAAATTGATTCTAGGAAAATAGTTTGCGGGTATGTTTTGAGGTTTGCTCGCTAATAAACGAAACCGAACAGGTCGAAGACTTGAAGCTGGGAAGAGTTGTGTCGTGTTGGAAGGAAGAAAAGGAAGGAGAAGGCCAAATCCAAAAAGAAATGCTAGCACCCAAACAAGTAGCAAAATCTTCAAGGGTTTTCCTCTCTTCCCTTTTTCTCTTCAACTTAAAGAACAACAACCCTCTTATCTCCACCACATCCCCATCCTTGTACTGTTGCTTTTACTATGATTACTCAACAGCTGTAGCTGCTGCTGCTGCAGCAGCAGCAGCAAGAGGAGGAGGCATTCGTGATAGAGTCACAAGTGCAAAGGACATAGCCACATCCTTCAAAGAATGGTTCAAGAAAGGAAACAACGAGTTGTTGAATCGAATTTTTGTCACAATTCAGAAACATGGTGAAGACAAAGAAGCTCTTGGGCTTGCTCTTTCGCAATTGCGTCTTCCTTTGAATGAGTCATTTGTGTTGGATGTGCTTGCTTATGGTAAAAATAGAAACGAGATTTATTCTTGTGTTAAATTCTTTGATTGGGCTGGTCATAAAGGTGGTTTCTTTCACACTCGTGTTACTTTTCATGCTTTTTTTAAGATCTTGACAGCATCGAAAGGGATGAGTGTGATGCTTGATTTCTTAGAGGTTTGTAAGGGGACAGGAGATGTTTATGTTCATCATAATATGAGATTTCAGACCGTTTTGGTGATGGGTTACGCTGTTGCTGGCAAGCCTGATGTCGCACTCCAAATGCTTGGTAGAATGCGCTTTCAAGGTCTTGATTTGGATACTTTCTCTTATCATGTGCTTCTCAATTCTTTGATTGAAGGGGTTTATTTTGAGGGTTTTGAGGCTGTCTTTAAGCAGATTTCGTTGAGGGGTTTTGAGGGTGGGGTGACCCGGGTTCTGAAGATGAAATATTTATGTAAGCAGAAATTGTTGGATGAGGCGGAGGCGTATTTTCGTGGGCTGGTCAATGAGGGTAAGGTTGACAAGTGTAGAAGAGGTGAAATGTTTGGATATGCACATGCTTTGAGTGTTCTTGTTGATGGGTTATGTCAAAATGGTTTGTTTGTCAAGGCCGGGGAGTTGATTGAGGAAATTAGCAAGTTGGAGTTGGTGCCAATGGACTCTGCTTATGGGATTTGGTTGAAGAACCTTGTCCATGCTGGAGAGATCGATGCAGCCTTCAAGTTCATGAAGAGCAAGAAGTCCTTAGAAGGGTATGTTCCAGACATTTTTTGGTGTAATTCATTGCTTTTCAGGCTTTTGAAGGATAACCGTCTTGAGGATGCTTGTGATTTGCTGATTGAGATGAAGGAGAATCAGATATCTGCTAACACCGTCACCATGAACGCTGCATTGTGTTTCTTTTGCAAAGCTGGAATGGTAGAGGTTGCACATAAGTTGTACAAGTCGAAGTTGGAGTTTGGATTCTCGCCTAATACCATGGCATATAATTATCTTATCAATTCTCTATGTGGAGTAGGGTCCTCTGTTGAAGCTTATTCTCTACTGAAGAATTCTATTAAACAAGGTTATTTCCCTGGTACAAGAGCATTTTCTATACTTGCTGATGCTTTGTGTAGACAAGGGAAGCTTGACATGGTGATGGAATTGGTTCTTCTTGCTCCATCAAAGAATTTTAGGCTCAGTGATTCCACATACGAAAGAGTCATATCAGCATTGTGCAGGGCTAGGAGGTTTGAAGATGGTTATGTGATGCATGGGGAATTTAACAGAAGGAATAGAGTTGCTACAGTAGCTACTTACAGGCAGTTGATTCATGGTTTTAGCAAGTCCAATAGGGGACATATTGCTTCTAGGCTTCTTATTGAAATGCAGGATAAGGGTCACCAGCCAACTCGGAAAATGTTCAGAGCTGTCTTTCGCTGTCTATGTGATATGGAAAATCCAGAAATGCATTTCTTCAAATTGCTGGAGATGCAATTGTACCGTCACAAATTCAACACTAAGGTTTATAACTTCTTCATTGATGAAGCTGGGCGTAGCAAGAAACCTGAACTAGCCAGAGAAGTATTTGAGATGATGCAGAGAAATGGAATCGAGCCCAATGTTGGCTCACATGTTTTTATGTTGAAGGCTTTTCTGAGGAATGGAAGAATTTCTGATGCACTAAATTTCCTTAAAGCAACGCATGATAGCAAGATGGATGAAAAGCTGTACCGTGCCATGGTTGTTGGGCTCTGTGAAGTCAAAAGAACCGATCTTGCTCTGGATTTTCTGAAGGCAATGCAGAGTAAGGAATTGGTTCCAAGCATGGAATGCTACGAGGCTGTTGTAAGGTTGCTTTGCTCAACCAAAAACTATGATATGGTGGTAAAAATTATTTATGACTTGAAGAAATGCCAGCGTAAGCTTACATCCCTTATTGGTAATGTACTTCTGTTGCATTCCCTGAAGAGTAATGAGCTATATGAGTCTTGGGTTCGATCAAGAGATCTGCAGAATGATACATCTTCTGATCTTTCAAACCTTGGACTCCTAATTAGTGCATTTTCTGGTCATCTTGAAGTGAGCCTCGAATACTTGGAAGGACTGATTGAACAGTGCTTCCCCCCCGACATCTACACTTGCAACATGTTGTTGAGGATGCTATGCATGAGGGATTTGGACCGTGCTCAGAAGTTCTTCAATAGACTACGTGACAAAGGATTTGAACCTAATCGATGGACTTTCGACATCATGGCACATGGTCATTTTAAGCATGGAAGGCAAGTTCAGGGTAGGCTATGGGTGGATGAGATGTCGAGGAAGGGGTTTGATCCAACTTAAAGTACCCTACAACTCTTTCCCCGGTAATTGCTACTTTTTGCTTAACCATTCACAGAGTTCTACAAAAAAATTTCCAGATGAAAATAAGATGCCTGAAATTGATTAATTACATGGAATATCTCATTAACCTCATGTAAATTATGATTATTATTAAAAATTGTTATCATTCCCTTCTCTTTTTATGTCTCATGGTTTTGGAAATCAATTACAAGAAAAGAAATAATGGAATTTCATTATTGTTACCATCCATTATGGCCTTAGATAAAGAATGATACAGGGCTGTCTCGAAGTTAGATTTAGATTGTATAGTTGGTGATCAAAATGAGTGGGCAAGGTTTTAAAATATCGATAGAACATGGGTTTTTTTTTTGTCCTTTTTTCTTTTTTGCGTAAGGTAGAAGGGGTTGATTTGGGGGCTTTTCTGGTGTTTGTATAGTAACTGCTAAACATCCAAAGGGGTTGATTTATACATTATTTTAAACCTGGTAGTTTTGCTATCGCCCTTGACGAGTCTCATGTGCATCGAAGTGAGCCTAAAAGTATACCAGTTTTGAATTAGAATGGAGGTTGCAACTGTTTCTGATCCTAATAGATTTTATTTTCTGAACTAGTAGAATTCCACTATACACAGATGGGATAGATGGCAATGACTGGCAGTCAAGTTGAAGGGACGCTAAATTACACATTCAATATATAGTATCTTGTTTTCATGCTTTTGACGTATATAATTCCTTACAACAAGTAATATATATTTGTACCCGCAATTCTGGATGATATATATATATATAAACTTTCTTCGCAACACACATATATAAACTTTCTTCGCAACTGTGTGTTGCTTGTTTTACGCTGTCTTACCAGGGAAATGCGTATCCTAAGCTTTCAAAGGCAGCATTTGATTGAGCAAATGTCTCTCCTAGACAGAAAGCTTTTTTTTTCCCCTCAGATACCTGAACTGGTATGGTCCTCAGTTAACGCAGCAGGGTTGAGTCCTTTACAAAGAAACAAACAATGACAATTTGGCAGAGGTCCAAAATGGACTTCTTCTGTTCTTCTTCCGCAACAAGATGCCTTGCTGATAATATAATACCAAGGAATGGCTGCGAAGACTGCATGATTGAATGATTAAACAGGTGATGTTTAATTTTATAAGTGAAATGGAAGGTTAATTGGTTGCCATTTAATCAACAGCACAAGCATAGATAGGAATATTGAAAATCAAAATATATTTATATGATAATATATCAATAAAATATGGGGTTAATTTGAATTAATTCTTTTGATTTCTTCATCGTGTATTTTTTTAAATGGGCTAAAAAAGTAAGATCAAAATGCTTCACTTTGTATTGAATAAGCTAGAATTTAGTGACCGTTAAAACTTTGGCTTGTAAACACAAAAGTACTGAATGCATTGAGATTACGTTCATAATTATTAGAAGATTTTTTCCCGGAGGATTTGCAAATTCTTCTTCTTCTTCTTCTTCTTTTTATTTTTTATTTTTTATTTTTTTATCTTTGAGAGGAGTATCCATGAATTGTTGTAATGTAATGGATCTTACCCTTGTCAGATTTCCCTGACCTGGCATTAATTTCAGTCAAATCTTCTCTCAGGTTCGTTAACCACTAGTTATATGGAGCCTCGTTTTAGGACATTGAATACATGTATTATTAATTATTAACAAAAAAAACTAAAAACTAAAAGAGATTGGTTTTTACTGTAAAACATTTCATTTCTCAACATGCAATTTGCAGATTAGGATATCATAGAATGAAACTTGATTTCTGTTTAAGCATGCTGTGCTTGGATGGGAATGAAAATGGAGATATCTTCTGTGTTTATGCTGGAACTGCAAAGAAAATTTGATAATCTTGATAGTTTAACATCTCTTGTTTCTTGAAAGTTGAAAGTAGATTGATTATGCATATTTGTGATTTTCTTCTATCTACTGAAATGTTATGACAACCAAATTTAAATATTAAAGTATTGTTGCATGTTCTGTTTGCTTCTAATAGATTTAGAGTTTTTATGTCAATAATTGTGATAAAATTATTCGCACATAATTTAAATTGTTTAGTTTTGATTGAGTTAGAATTCAACAAATAATAAGGAATATAATTTGGAAGTTCGACTGGTATAATTTGGAAGTTCACTCTTGGATTTGTTGAGGATGTTGGAGGCTAATAAGACAACCTAACACTTGTAATAATAAAAAGGAATTTAGGGCTAGTAATCTTTACCTTGATTCTTGAATTTAAAAGCTACTCGTGATATTGAAAATGATGAGTTCAATAAACCTACTAGGTTAGTTGTAAAACTAATAAGGCCACAAAGTGATTACAAATTGATTTTGAGTTTCATTTCTAGAGTTTTAGTTTCTATTTTCTACTTTTATATTAGACTTTGTTGCTTAGCCATCATGAGTAAATTAAAATAATATCAAATAGTTTACCAACTCTTACTTATATTACTCTACTTACATATGTTAAAATTTGAATGCTTGGTTATTTTAGAAATCAAGAATAACCATTCTTGATAACCACTATATAATTTTATGGATTACATGATATATTGTTTTCCTATTATAATCTTCTCTTTATCAATTATCATTAAAAATTTATGTTGGTTGTTCATATAAATAAAAGTAAATGAGCTTGCTAGTCTCTTTTAAGGATACTAGTAACTATGATAAGTATACTAAGAAATGGAACTAGAAAGTCTTTAATAACATTTCAATTTTATTTAACAACATCAAAAGTAAACTAAGTTAAGGATATAACTTAATTACAAAATATTTAATAACATTTTATTTGAATTTTTTTTATAATTTTCATCTTCATCTCTTCAAGATCTAAATCAAGATAGGATGGGGAGTCAATTCTTTATGTTTACCTATACACTTCATAATTAAATAAGAGTTTGTAGACTTGTAATTATACAGCAATGTTAAAAAACTATATAAAAAAATCCTAATATGTATTTGGTAGATATAATAAATAATTTAGATGCGGTTTGGTAGATATAATAAATAATTTAGATGCACTAGCGAATAATAACAAATCATAAGGATCTTTCAGGTTCTGGGTAAAAGAGGTTGTAATGTGTAAAGATGGTTGATTAGTCTGTGTTTATAAAAAAAAAAATCTATTTTAATGTTTTGGTTTTTAAAAAAATCAACAATAGACTCTTAAATTTGTAGGAGTTTGTTTTAAAATACCATATAAATTTAAATAAAATAATTTAGTTGTGAAATATAAGTGGTATCAAGAAACTTTTATCTATATAGCTATTAATTATTTGTTTAGTTTATATAAAAAAACATGATAGTTAATTATTTTAAAATAAAAAAATAAAACGATAAAACACACTCGAATACAAAATAAACTTAAAAACTCACTTGATCAGTAGTAAACTAATAAGATTTGTACTAAGAGAGACCAATTTCTTTCTTTACTTATTTTCTCTTCTTTGCCTTTTTTTTTTCCTTATAGTTTGTTTTTATCTCCATAAAAATCTCGTTCATTTTTAGAAAACAAACAACTATGAATATATTATTTAAAAAATATTTTTATACTTTAAACAACTCATATTATATCTTAGATATTTTAGTAAAAGCAAGTCTAAGTACAAATCCTATAAATTCACATATGCTTAAGTGAGTTTTTAAGTTTATTTTATGTTTGGGTTTTATTGCTTTATTTTTTCATTTTAAAATAATCAATTATTGTGTTTTTTTTCCAAATTAAATAAAGGATTAATAGTTATATAGATAAAAAATTTAAAAAATTTTGTTACCATGTATATTTCATAACTATGAAAAAAGTTTCAACATTTTCAAGGTGGATTTAAATTTTGTTACCATGTATATTTCATAACTGGATTCGTGTGGTATTTTAAAATAAATTCTTACATATTTGAAAGAGTATTGTTGATTTTCTTAAAAACCAAAACATCAAAGTATATTATTTTTTTTATAAACAAAGACTAATCAGTTTCTTAAAAACCAAAACATCAAAGTATATATTTTTTTTTTTTATAAACAAAGACTAATCAATTCTATCTACAAAATACAGCCTCTTTCACCCCAGAACTTGAAAGATCCCATGATTTGTTACTGTTCACAAATGCGTCTAGTTTATTTGCTATATATATCAAATATGCATTAGTCCGTTGTTGATTTTATTAAAAACCAAAACATTAAAGTATATTATGTTTCTTACAAATATAGACTAATCAACCTTGTTTACAAAATACAACCCATTTCGGCCCAAATCTGAAAGATTCTTATGATTTGTTATTGTTCACTAATGTATATGATTTATTTGCTGTATCTATTAAATATGCATTAGTAGCTTTTATCCTGTACTAGAAAAACTTATAGTAGGTCATAAATTCTGTAAACAAATGTCATATTAAAAGCTGAGGTTATTGCTAAAAAAATGAAAATAGATTTTATAGTAGAGATGGAGTCTAAAAAAATGAAGTTCTACACTATTTATGATATATTTTACGTTAGAATTTTAAATTTTTTTTTATTGATATTGACTTTGTAAAATTTAATTCTACGATTAAGTAATTTCTATAATTAATTATGTTTATTTTTATATTCCATCTTTATTTATAATTTTATTTTACAAAAAATTATTTCATTTGATGGTCATTTCAAACTATGTCCTAAATTGATCATGAGAAAGAGCAACCTTGCTCATTACATTCATATACTAGAAGACTAAAATATTTAAAAGAGTAAGGTAAGGTTGTAGAAGAACATTTTAAACAAATAAATACCAATATTTATATAGATTTATATTGCAATAAATACCAATATTTATATAGATTTATACTGCATAATTATAATTACAAGTCTGTAAGCTTTTATTTAATTACAAGATTTATAGGTGAATGTAAATAATCAACTCCTTTGCTCTATCTTGATTTAGATCTTTAAATTGAATTATGAAGAAATTCAAATAAAATGTTATTGAATATTTTTTTATCAAGTTATATCCTTTAATTTTGTAATTAAGAATATTATCTTAACTTAGTTTACTTCTGATATTGTTAATTGAAATGTCATTGAAGAAATTCCAGTTTTGTCTCTTAGTGTACTAGTTATTAGTAAATTTGAAGGAACTAGTAACTTCATCTACTTTTATTTATAAGAGTAGTCAATATGAATTTTCAATGATAAAGTGATGATTATAATTGGAAAATAATATGCCATGTAATCCATAGAGTTACATAATAGTTATCAAACCTTGACTAAATAAGAAAAAGAATGGTTGTCTTTGATTTCTAAAACAATCAAGCATTCAAATTTTAACATATAAAAGCAGAGCATAATACATAAAAGATGGTAAATCATTTGACATTACTTTAATGTGTTTATGGTGGCTCGGCAAACACATTCTAAAACAAAGTGCGAGTGATTCAATTATAGAAAATTTACTATACAAGGAGTAACTAGGGACCAAACCACTAGAAATGAAACACAAAATTAATTTAGAACCACTTTGACCATTCATATTATGGTTTTGTTAGTACTACAACTGACTTAATAGTTTTATTAAACTCATAATTTTTAATATTATAGGTAGCTTTTGAATTCAAAATTCAAGGTAAAGTTTGTTAGCTCTGAGTTCTTTTCTATTATTACAAGTGTCAGGTTGTCTTATTGGCCTCCAATATCCTAAATAAATCCAAAAGTGATTATATTGGCCAAACTTACAAATTATATTTCCTAGTACTTACAAAATCCCAACTTAATCAAAACTAGATATTTTTAAGTTTTGCATAGATAGTTTTATCACAACTATTGACATGGCATGGAAACTCTAAATCCACCAAAAACAAACATAACACATTACAAAACTTTAATATCTTAATTTAGCTGCCATAAAGTTTCTTAACTAGATAGAAAATCACAAATATACATCATCAATGTACTTTAAAGAAACTAGAGATGTTAAACCTATTTAGTGATCAAGATTATCAAATTTACTTTGTAGTTCTAGCATAAATAAAAAAGATATCATCATCCAATTATCAAATTTACTTTGTAGTTCTAGCATAAATAAAGAAGATATCATCATCCAAGCACAACATGCTCAGATAAAAGTCAAGTTTCATTTTGTGAGATCCTAATTTGCAAATTACATGTTGAGACACGAACAAAAAAGGCATGTCTTGTAAATTCATAATTTTTTTTATCACTAACCGACTAAATTGTGTTGCTATTTAGTGATACTGAGAACACACAAGAGAATCATCAA